TGTAAAGCTGAATAGATTTCTTTTTTTTTTTCAACTAACCATTAACACAGCTCAACTAGATCGCCATGTTTAACCAACTACAGATCTGTTAAATATTAAAAATCTGCAAACCACATAGAAAAAGGTACGGGTTAAAGCCTTGCCTGGGAACCAACATATCAATCAAATCTTCCCAGAATCAGCGAAGTTCATAGATGACATTGGAGCAAGCCTTACAAACATGCAAGAGCATAAAACTAAGGATTTGATAGGATAAAGAAAACTGAGGAGAACGAACGACCAAGAAGAAGAACACAGATTGAGGATTGATGATGATTTAAGAGTGTAATTATCATGTATTTTGCTTCTTTACCACTTTAAATCCCTCAAACATCAAAACAAATCCTCAAGATTGGCTTATGGAGCTACAGTTAATATCTTCTTTAAGAGATTCCTAGAAAAATCCCTGCGACTTCATTCAAGAAAAAATCCATCAACAAAGAGCTTGTACAATGTAAAAACCTAATAGACCTTTCACATTCAAAGACAGCGCATTGAGAGCAAACATTTACAGTGAAAATTCTTAATTCCGGCCGAGAAATAGAATCAGCTGTAAAACTAAATCAAATGCATTTCAAAGTTTGATATAAAAGAAATAGCTGTCTTATATCTTTTTACATTCGCAAGGACTCTAAAAATTTCCTAAAGCACCAAAGTAACTAAAAAAAAAAATCCAGATTCAAAACCTCATCCCAAATTTATGCAAACCAGTAATCAAACAAGCAGCGCCTGCAAAAAGGGGTAAAAAGATACCTATTTGTGAAGAGCAGCCCAGCGCAGAAGCTTCCAAGGCAAAGAAGAAAGGTCCATTTTTTGGAAACCATACTCCTCGGTGAAGCCTCTCCTCCTATTTCTCTACTCTTCAAGCTCATGATTCCTACTCTTCTCTGAAACTATCCTCTGAAAAATCCCTAATTGCGCGCATAAATTTGGAACCAAAGCTAAAGTTTTTCTGCCGCTGGAAACTTCTAAGAGGAGGAAGAGATGATATTTCCCTGCCAAAACTCTGTCTTTTCTGGTTGCTGCATATTTCTTCTCTTTGAAAGGAAGAAAAAAATGCGAAATGAAAGTAACACGCCAGCTATGAGACTGTTGAAGAGGGAAGGGAAGACTTCAAAAGGAACCTTCAGACTATAAGAGCTTTAACTGATCCCATTTGCCTTAAGAAATCCTAACAAATGCATCAAATTTTCAAAATGCCCTTATGATGGGGCAGTTAATTACAAGAATCCATGACCGTTTGACCTTTGCCTAAGCAATCAAACTGTGCATGTGGAGCATGGCATGGGACAATGAAGAAATGAACTGGAGCCTCATCCTCTATTCTATGTTGATGGGATCTGTGAAGCAATTATTCCGAACAGTACCCTTGGTTCATAATAGAATAGTCACATATATAGTCGTTCTGAATTTATACAGTAAAAAAAATCTTCTCAAATGAAATCTGAATATGAGTAATAATTCTTAATCAATTGGTCATGCCTCTATTCATCGTGAGTTTTTTATCATGTAGCATATTAATGTTTGGTTTAAATTTTTAAATAAATATTTGAGATCCATACAATAAATTTTATGTGTAATTGTGGAAAGTTTTGAAAAAATAGAAGAGAGTTAAGAGAGGTCACATTCTTGCTTCCTTTTATATCTATATTCTTGTTTTTTTCTTTACTAATTAAGAAGCACTTACCTTTTATTTTTTTTTTCTTTTTGGTATGATATATATCATTCATGTACTTACTATGTTGTACCGATACATCGAATATGTGTCGGACACGAATATACGTCCGACGCAGCACCAATATGTGTCAGATAAGGCAAATCCTTATCCAATTAAAATAATATTTAATTTTGAAATGACATGCGTATCGGATATGCATGTCCCATTGAAAAATGAAAAAAAAAAATTCTAAAAAAATGAAGCTTATTTTGTATTTACTTCAGCGGCTGCGAGCGAGGTTCTCTCATTTTCGAACCCACAAGACGTGGCATTAGGGATTCTTCATTTCTATGACTACGAGCGTGCATCTAGGGATTATGTTCAGTAGAAGTTCAAAGACAAACCATAGAAGAAGCTAAAATTATCATTCATTCTATTGAATAGTTGAAACTTCATATGCTAGACAATTTATGTTTATGATTTTGTTGTTGTACTAGATATTTAATGCTTACATAAAATAGAAATGATTAATTAATTTGTAATGTATGCAATTGAAGTGATTGGAGATGATTGGGACTCACGACCTCTAAATTTTATTGTATTAAATGTTGAGGTCCAATTATTTAATCCAATATTTTCATTAAAATTAATAAATATTCTGAAATTAAATCCCTCTAAACATATAAGTTAATAAAAAAAAGTGATTAAAAAATAAGTTCATCTAAAACAAATTAAATTACTGTATAATGATTACTGCAACGCGAATCTGTACCTTGAAAGTAAAAGAGCAATGGAACATTCAGAATTCCTGCCGAGTGCTTTTGCCTGTCTTCTTCTTCTTCATCTTCTTCTTCACGTGAAGTTCTTCTCAGTTCTAATTACTCAGCAGCAAAATAAAGATGAACAGTTAGTATATAGAAATGGCTTTGGAAAATTTCCACCGTCCATCAAAAATAGATATTAAATGATCTCTATACTTAGAACCCATTAATGATATATTCCGAGAAAAACAAAGTAACAAATCCCCTTTCAACAGCTCTTTATGAACTTAATACAAGGTTTTGTTTGGGATAGTTTTTGACCACTTATATTTTACCACTTTTAAAAAAATTTATATTTGAAAGTTGTTTTATAAAGCAATAAGAAAACTATCCAAAACAACGGCCTTGTATTAAGTTCATTTGGAATAGCTTTCTTATTGTTTTATAAAGCTTCGTTTGGGGTGTTTTCTTACTGCTTCTTAAACTAAAAATTTTTGTACTAAAAAAATTGTTTTAGAAAACAATAAGAAAGCTATTCCCCTTGAGCCATAAAGATATATGAGAAGCTTTTAATAAGAAAAAATATAAAGAATATATGCTTATACAAATATTGAAAGATTCTAAGAATAGTTTTTATTATTATTAGAAATAAATAGAATTAAATTGTAAAATATTTATTTTTATATAAATCTCTTTATTATGTCACATTCCATCCTAAATAACTAAGATAGTGAATCAATTGGTAAAATAGTTTAGTTAATCAACTAATTTTTAAATAATTTAAAATTAATTAGAGTAATTATTATTTATAAAAAACCATTTTGAGGAATAATTAGTAATAATATAACCTTTTTTATCATAAGGCTATTGAAAAGTGAAATAAATAATTAGTCCTTAATTTTAATGTAAATTAATAACTAAGAAATAAACTAATAGCATAATTATTGTTAATTAATCAACGTTTATTTAGAATATATAATAACCCTAATCCAAATTAATTTTATGAAATTTATTATTTAAATTTTTTGGTAATCTCTAATGAACTACTTAATTATTCTTGATATATTACACAAATTTAATATGATCATAAATCAATTTTGATATAAATTTATGATCTCAAAGCATTCTAATTATTATTATAACTGTTGCGGACTAGAATATATGAGATGATAGAGTTAGAAACTTTCCGTCTCAAAGTTGTACGGATATCCAGCACACAAACAGGAGAAAAATAAAAACACCAGGATTTTTACGTGGAAAACCCTGAAAGGGAAAAAACCACGTGGCTACGCCCTGTTGAAATAATTCCACTAATGTTTGCTTGAGATACAAGATGTTGACTCACCCTTAAAATTTAGAACGATCAGATTACAATGATTCACTTCCGGAATAAAATCCAGTTCCAAAAAAGTTGTGTATTCGAGTTGAATTCAGAGTCACTTAGAATTTCGGCGTCACTTGGAAATCGGGTAGAGTTCCGGCATCACTGGAAAGTCGGGCGGAATTCCGGCGTCACTTGAACATTAGACAGAATTCCGGCATCACTTGGGCAGAATTTTTGCGTCACTTGGGCGTCTGGTAGAATTCTGGTGTCACTTGGGCATCAGACAGAATTCCGGCGGTGGTCGAGGAGGAGCTTCTTCCCTCATTCTCTTCTCTTCTTCTTCTTGCTTGGGTCCCCTCTCAAGAGAAATGAGGGGCTATTTATAGTTTTTTAAGGATACCATGACCCGTAAATAGGAGGAGGATCAAAGGCAAAAGTGGAGTGGTTCGGATGGACGGCCGATATTGAATCCCTTGATCATGGATCGTTCATCAAACATTTGAAAGTCTTAATGATGTCGGAATTCAGCGATAATGGGCTCGTTGGATTTGTCTCGTCGAGTCGCTCGATTCGACTATAAGCACGTTATGTTTGAAAATCGTTTGGTAGCCCAAATTGTGGTTTGAACCTTCCAACAACGTTTCAGGTCCTTGATTTGGACTCATTTGGACTCGGATTTGGTGTCGTTGGGTTCGTATTTTCGAGATGCTAAGTTCGACTGTAAGTTTGCTGAAATTGGACTTCAGATGATCCCGGATTTAATTTTTGAAGTTTCCGGCTTGATTTTGCCTCGAGATTCGTGTCCAATCAAGATAATTTTTTGATGATTTATCAATAATTAAGTCCCCCAACAATATTATAACCTTTTTAAATAAATTATATATTTGGAATCTTCTTGAAAATTTTTTATAATTATGCCACTAAAAATAATATTGTTGTTGCTATTCCTCTTGTGAAGTATAATCGTGCAATGAAATAAATAAATAAAATAGAAAGTACAATAAAGAAGAAAAAACATCAAAATTTAACATAAAAAAAACTTGAAAGTGGGAAAACATCGTGGAGCTAGCACACCACATTAAGAAATTCACTATTGTTGCGGACTAAAAGTTTCATAGCGGTAGAGTGAAAATATTTTTGTCTTAACGTTGTATGAAAATCTCAGAACACAAACATATGATAGAAAAAACATGAAGATTTTTACATGGAAAATTCTGAGAAAGGGAAAAATCACGGGGGCTTTGCCTAGTTCTTACATTAGTATTTAAATAGATTACAAAAGTCAATATATCATTTATTCCAAGGACAGAGAGAATACAATGTATTGTATAGTTTTGTTATTCTTCATACAGGTATTCTTGATGTAAGGATCTCATGATGGTCCAAGAATGAGCAGAAGTTCGATAACGGTCGATGGTTGGAGAGAAATTTGGCCGTGGCCAACGAACTGGCTGAAGTCCAACAATGATCAATGGTTCGGAAGAACGTCGTTGGGAAGAAATTCGACAGCGACCAATTAACGAGCAAAAGTCCAGCAACGGTCGGTAGTCTAGAATAACATTGGTGGTTGGGAAGAACATTAATTAGTGGTCGGGAAGAATTAACATCAATGGTCGAGAAGAACGTCAGTGGTGAATAGTGGCAAGAGAACTCTCAACTTTTCTTTTATCTTCATCTCCCCCTCATGTAAGGAATGAAAGGCCTATTTATAATTTTTTAGCGTAACATAGCTTGTAAATGTGGAGAAGATCAAGGGCATAACTAGAGTGTTACATTGGATGTCTAATAGTGATTCCTTTTATCATAAACATTTCTTAATTATGTTGGAATTAAACGATCTTCGGCTTGCTGGAATCATCTCCTTGATCCGCTCAATTTAACTATAAGCATGTCATATTCGACAATCATTTAGTTATCCAATTAATGTTTCAAACCCTCCAAGTATGTTTTGTACCCTTGATTTGGGCTCATTTTGGCTCAGATTGGACTAATTTTGACGTTGTTGGGTTCATCTTGTCTAGATGTTAAATTCAATTACAAGTTTGTTAAAATCAGAGCTTGAATGATTCCTATTATACTTTTGAAAATATCTTGCATGGATATGCTTCGAGATTTGTGCCCGATCAAGGTAATTTTTTGTGATATGTCAACTTTAAATATTAGAAGAAATTGTATATATATCTCTTCTCACCCTCTCTTTTGCATCTCTTCACTTCATACACTATTATACTCACAGAATAGATAAAAAGACGCACTTATATTACACTAAAGGAAGTAATTCTTCAAGTGGAATATAAGAAGATGGATGAAAACTATTTAGTCTGATTTGTAGAGCCATGGCGTTGAAGTTTAGAGCATCGTGATTCTCCACTATCTATTTGTTATTCCACTTTTGTAGTGTTGTGGTGTTGTCATCTAAAACATCACAACGTTGTACTCTCCTCCGACTTGAGGAGAGAGCGCCGTCGTGTTGTATGATGTGCGAACATAAATTTTTTTGAAGGCCTTTGCCTTTGAACCCCCTAACAGGGAGTGTGTTGCCCCCTTGCGACTCTTAAGAGAGCTCATTGCCAAGCTCTACCTACAAAATTAAGATTTGACTTAACAATACAACTCAATTGATTGATCCAACCAAATTCCACACTGAAGTTTTGTTCCCTTCAATGAAATTTTTTTGAAGCTATCTTAGGAAACTTGGAGTTGGTTAATAAACAAATATTATATCATTAGCTTTATTTTATTTTGGTGGTTTTCAGTCAACTCTTCATCCAATAATGGGAGCAAGGAAAGTACTTGTCCACTGTTTATTTAATTCGAATGTTTGTTGGTTTTTTTTTTAATAATTTGTTAATAAAATTTGATAAAATATTTTATTTTATGATTTTTTAGTTGCTTCATGATAGCATATTTTATTCTATTTAATAAATTATTTTATGTTATGTGCACTTTAAAAATGATTTGTATTACTTAAAATATGAATAGATAGTTAGATGGATAGAAAAAATATATAATTTTATTTTTTTATCAATATCTGCTGGTAAAAATATTAAATGAAAACTATTTGGATAGATTCAACTTTGAATTTTTATTTTTCATAAAATATTCAGTTACTAAAATATTAAATAAAGAAGTAAATTAGCAGACTAAAAAATAATATTCTTGCTAAAAATAGTGGAAATAATGCCATGTGAACTACTATCAATTTCATATTAAAAATTATTCATTTAAATCATTAACATCTTAAATATTTAGTTACTTAAACAAAATTTTAAAGCCCAGCCAAAATTGGATCAATAAATAAACAAATAAACTTGAAAATGTAATGCTCAGATTAATTTGGGATGTCAATAAATGATTTGATTCGCCAACCCGACCCAAACCAACAAAAATAACTTGGATTCGAGCTGACTTGATTAATTAATTTGGTATATCAGTAAATAACCCGACTTGTTAACCCAACCCAAACCCACAAATCATTTTTAATCCAAAAATGACAGGCTTAATACCTTTTTTCCTTATCGATATAATCTTTTTGTTTTCTATCAACTATATATATATATATATATCATTTTCCTTAATGAATCGGGTTTGGGTCATTCGGGTTGCTAGTGGGTTGGACTCTTATTGGTGTTTTTGACTCGCTTATTAAACGGGTCGGGTTCAAATTGATTGGATTTAGATCATGTCAATTTAGATCAGATACAAACCCGACCCATTAACTCGTTTTGATACTCCTAGGATTAACGATCATTATTTCAAGGATTAACGATCATTTAAAGCTCTAACCGCAAT